ATCAGACTGACCCCTGCTAGACCGAGAGTGGTCCGGCCTATATTGAGAGTCATGCATTACGGGAGATAGGGAATCCTCCTTGTATGATCCTCCCCCCGAGCCGGCACCCTTGGGAGAGTTCCGGTCCGGCGAGGGCGATGGTGTAGGGGTTTTAGGCTTTTCGCCCGCTCCTTGACGGAGGCTTTTGCTCTTGCGGTTCTTAGCCATGGCTGCTAAGATAATTGCAAGATGATCTTGGTTAGGAATTTGGCTTAAAGATTTTTGAAAGTCGTCCCCACAGACGGCGCCAAATTGTTTCGGGTGAAAACAATGGGACCTTGCCGAAGGTCCGCTGAAATGGAGAAGACTGGATTCGGTCCAAGTTATGTTGGGCCGAAGGTTTCCTGCACAGTAAACACACGTAAACTAGCCTCGGGGGTGTTGCCGAGGAAGGCCCCTCCGATGCTAAAGTCAGTACAATGTGTAAGAAGTAGACACTATGCAAGAGAGTTTGTAGCTTGAGGCTTTTATGAATATATCAGAATATATGAATATAAATGTGTCAAATGAATCTCAATATTGATATCCCTTTGAATGAGACAATATGATAGCTTTTATACCTCATCATATATGGAGAGGTTGGGCCTTAGCCCAATTGGCTTGCTTTGTGGGCTGACCTTTGACTTTAGCACAATTGGAGAGTTGAACCTTGACCTTGAGCTTTTAATTGGATCATTTAGTGCTTAGGCCCAATTGGACTAAATTGGACCCAAACACTTATAAAAATAGTTTAATGTGTTGATAATGAGTAGAAAATGCACCTTGATAAAGGTTTTTTTATTTTAAATTTGTGAGAGTTTAAGATTAAAGTTGGACTCTATAATCGAATGATTTTAAACAAGAAAAATAAAATCAAATAGATCGAGCATTGAAAGTACATATATTTTTGCATTAAGATACTATACAAGTATTAAGGGTGCTAGCATGTAGCCATATACCTCATGATCAACAGCTCAACATTGTATTCCTTTCCCTCTAAAAACCAAGAGGACGCCTAAAATTCTGAACTATACAAAAAGGGTAAGTTTTGTTCACCTTATTTTATATAATTTCATGTTAATAACCTCATATAAATTTAGATAAGTTCAATTAAACTTAAATAAAATAAGTTCATGAAAAATAATTCTGATAATTAGGGTTACGTATCAAAGTTCAACTTACAATTAAAATAAGATTTTAATAAAGTTTAATAAGTTCATGAGTAAATTCAAATATGTTTGACAACTAAGATAAAATAAGTTTAAGTAAGCAAAAATCAGGTGATAAAACACACTCTAATCGCAGAAAGTATGACATCCAATATTCCAATTTATGAATTGAAGTAGCATTAATTGCGGCCGACATAAAATAATAAGTATGGTAGCAACAATTGCATTAAATTTAGTTAAAGAAGGTTGAAGTCTTGAAGATATTGCTTATGGCGTCACATATCTTCTTAATTCCATTCCATTCCATATCTCCTTTTAGCAAAAGTAAACGAATATAATCCACCTTGCCGACGTCGAATAGCAAACTAAGCTTTCAACTGTTAATTTCAAGTCAAAAAAAGCCATTAATTAGCAGATTGGCCCCATCATACCACTATCATTTGCTCAGCCTTTGGATGTTCAATTAGCTTTTTTCTTTATTATTATTTTTTTTTAACACTTTTTAGCTTATTAATCCATTTTTTTCAGGTTATAAGTTGATTGATTTGCTTTTTTGATTTGTGGTTGTATGCATTGGTTTGTTAGTAGTGGTTCACTTCTATTACCACCAGGAAAAAACCATCATCAAATGGCAACATCTAATGAGATAGATTGAAAGTACAATATTTATTTCTAATGGTTTCCATACACTATCATTTTTGTCCCTCTTGATCTATATAATATAAGAGACCTATCATGGTTCATGACAATAATTGCAATTTGCGTTGTTGCCAATGCAAACAAGAATTCTGTAGGAGTAGAATCTAATCACATAATAAACGCCTATATGATGATGATAACGTTGCATGTTGTTCTTAAATTAGTTCATTCACAATATGTTAGATATCCTTGTTCTTTTACCTTATCAATGAAGAAGTTTTATTTTCGTTTGATTTGTAAGGATAGAACCGGGAAGAAGTTAAAAGGAGAAGCTAAATTAGTTGAGTGATAAGACGACTTTGGCTTTCACACACCCATCCTTCGGTTTGAGATTTCTCATACTCGTTCCATAGATTATAGTCACCATATATAACTAACACGGACTTTAAAAATAGTGGGAGGCCCTATTCTCTCCAAAATTTAAATCAATTCGAAGTATGTATCATGATTGTAGCTTTCACATATAAGATACTCGACCACATAATAAATTTCCTATTGGTTCGCTAAATAAAAAATCAAGACCTAAAAAGTTCTCTTCCTATATGCACAATTTAACAATTTTGATTATAAATAATTTAGAGACCCCCCAAATTTCATAATAAGACAAAGTTCTTAAATTCAAAAACAAGAGCTAGTATACCTTTTAAATAAGTGCTAACATTTCTTATAAAAATCACTTGCAAATTGTTGCTAGACTGGCTACTAAATTTAATTTCATATTGCTTTAATTTATTGTTTCCATCACAAATCAATATCCTAAAATTTAGCTAAAATGTTAAGAAAAAACATTTTAAAAAAATACATAGAGAAAATGAATGTGAGTTCCACCATGGGAAAAAGGATATATGGATAAAATTACCAAAGATAATAATATCATAATTAACTCGAAATAGTCGATAAATAATAGTTTGTAAATATTAAATCAAAAAACGTAGGGAAGGCGTAGATTATTTCGCATAATATAATAATTAACCAATTGTGTCGACAGTATTTGGCTATTTGGTAGCTCCATGTCAGATTTGGTATGCACTGATCACCTAACGTTATGATATTTATCGTTTGTTAATTAAATATAGTAAATCTAATTACTTTCGGGTACCTTGTTATTTTCATACATGCAACAAACATCAAGCATACCAAATTATTAACAGAGGAAAAAAGCTGTTAATAAAACTTAAAATAAGTTTATAGTGGCAAGACTTAAGAATAAACCAATAATGTGAATCATAACCCAAAACTTACTAATTTAATTATAATGTACTCCTAAATAGAATTAAAGTAAACATGGTATTTAAGTATGTGTTAATGGACATGTGAAGCTAATTAATCTGAGTGGACAAAAAGAATCAGGTACTTGAGGCAGAGCAGCCTAGATAGTAGAGGCACATGGAATCACACAGGTGGCAGCTCATACTCAACGTGCATGCAGAATTATTCCTTGATTGTTACAAACCTACGTCTTTTTTATACCTTTCACTTGCCTGGAGTTTCATATATTCCATTTTTTATTCCTCTCTCAAAACTTTAATTGAAAAAAAAAAATTATTTATGGTTCGTTTGGTATTACTGTAGTATACTCTTGAATTAAAAGAAGATGTTGATCTTGAGTTGTGTATTACCTATTATTTGAATTAAAAGAAGATGTTGATCTTGAGTTGTGTATTACCTATTATCTGTACGCAAATGTCGTAAGCTTAGCCCAAGGGGTGTCCAAGAATACCCGTTTCAATACCTAAGTTAGTAACTAGAGAAAAAAATTTGTAATGTCTTTTTTCTTTTTTTTTTTTCAGCTTGTGCGAGTAAAATCGACCATTTTTACTTTACCTTGTAAATAAATGCTTTTGGCAGCTTTCTCCAAAAAAAAAAAAAAAAATGCTTTTGGCAGCTGGACTTTGGGCCTTTGGACCTTTTAACCGGACTGGCTAGCGTAGCCATGAGCGCAGCCTTGGACTCATTTAACATGAAATGGACTTATTGAGCCATAGACCTGACATTGGGCTTGGGCATAATAGGCCCAAATGGGGCAATGGTTTGGGCACCCGATCAGTTGTAAATTTCTTTTGTATGACAATGATTTTGATATCATTTACTACAGATTACTCTGTAATGTTGTTGTAAAACTTATGGTTTTTCAATTAAAATGTTGTAATTCTTGTAAAACTTTTTGTTCGTAAGGCGATTGTAGCATCGAAATAGATGTGTTGTTGTTCAATGTTCTATGTAACCAATGATTACGCAGTATTGAAGTTAAGGTATTAGGTTGATTTAAATTGGTATAGTCTCTAAATGCATAATTCCAATGACCCTATAGTTGTGATTTGATTAGCCCGGGTACAAACATTTTTATCAATTGATGAAGTTAATTTAATCTTTACATATGAACATTATTGTCTTAATTAGTTTTGATCAGGTGTACTACCAAGTTGTATACATTTACATAAAAAAAAAAAAAAAAAAAAAAAAAAAAAAAAAAAATTCCTTAAATTATTCTCCCATTTTGTCCATGCTATTTCTCAATTTGAACTCGGAGTTTTCATGAGTTAAGCTTAGAGAGTTTTGGTCATGGGTTTAGGAATACCATTAATTTCCAGTACATTCAAAGATTAATTGTAGTCAAATTGGTGGTTATTAATAAATTATGGTAATAGTAATGAATTTTATAAGTAACTTTGTGGAAAAAAAAAAATGTCAATGTCCATGGCGGCTGCCAAATAGGTGTTTAGGGAGAAGGGAAAGGGTGGCAGTGGTGGTGATGGTGTTAATTAATTAACCATAGTTAATCATTAAAGGTTAATTATATTACAATTATTAAAATAAAGCTAGATTAGAGAAAGATTATAACTTCAATGCTATTTCAGAGATTTTAGAAAAACTTTGCTATCATCGAAAATGCACAATTTATATGGTTATCAACTTATCATTGAGAATTTAATTTTATCATATAATTATATAATATGTTTGATGTAAAAAATAATAAAATAAAATAAAATAAAAAAACTATATATTGCACAGGCGTCACCTAATTTTGAATAAGTTAAAGATCAATCGAATAAAACATTAAAGTATGGTTAGAAAAACAAAATTATTTCTGTTATCATAAAAAAGTTTCCTCCATGCAAGAAGAGATAAACCTTTTACATTTTAGACATAATTATACAGTTTTACATTGAATTGGACAAAATTTCATGACAATGAAGAGGACTTAAAAAAAACAAACAAAACCTATAATTCATTGTCTTATTCCAAGTCTTCAGCCCTTAACCCCATCTAATACAGCTATACATATCCATCTGCAAACTGCATTTGTAAAAGTATGAGATATCTACTATCAAGGTAGGAAAAGATGAAAAGAAAAAAAAAAGACTGATTTAATGACATGAATGATGCAGCAGATTATAAGATTCCAGCAACCCAGTTGACATGATGCTCAAGAAATACACCAAATTGGCCACTACGATGGTGGCTGCCATGTTCCAGCCTTGAAAGAAGGGCCTGAGCCTGTTGGCTCCGTAGTCCTGAAAATTTCAGTATATCATTATAATGAATAAGTAACTGATTAGCACCCTGCACCCATATAAACTCTCCTTTATACTCTCGTTAGAAGGCAATCCCAGTTTAGACTGTCGTTAGACAAACATAGCCACTAAACAAGTAATCAACAAACAATAAAATGAGTTTAGAATACCGTGGTTCCAATGTTTCCTGAGGTGATTCTGTTTTTTCTTTCTCAGATTCGCTGCAAAACATAAAAAGAGCTCAATAAGGTCATGGTGTTTAACTGTTTGGATGCACCAAAGCAGCGAGTTTAAATTACATGTAGGATCTCATAGACACCAGTAGACCCCACAGCCAGAGTAAAGCTACTCGTTGACAAAATAAAAGCATATCTAACAACTTGAACTTTTAATAATAGTACTATACATTTTAAAAGCATAAACTTTACTGCTGCGAGTTGCATTACCAACACAAAAGTTCAAGTACCAAATCACACAAACACACAGACGCGCACACAACTTACAAAGCTCATTTCCATGATTCCATATAGAAGAGAATTGAAAAGAAAGAAGAAAGATTGCGAGACGAAACAAATAAGAGTCTGAGAATGGGAAAACAACACAACATAAGACCATAAGTATTACTAGTAACTAAATACTAAGAAGCAATTTCAAAAAATACAATGTAAAGAAGAGACTGTGAATGCAAAAGGAACAAGCTTTGCCATAATTGGGTGACTATAACACTTAGAATCATTCTTCGTGAACTTTTGTAATAAATACATATATGCAACAAAACTTTGTTTAGCCATTTATTTTACTAAAAGCAGCAGAAGATCAGAATTTTCATTTCAGCTAAACTTTAAGCATTAACATCAGTCATATCATAAATTCACAATCGCAAAACAATGAGAAGGGAGTAGCTTGGAAAATTACATTTCCACTTTCCCCTTAATTTAAAAACTTCCTCTTTTTTTATGAGTGCAAAATGTAGGGGTTGTACACTTTTTTAGACAGTAGATATAAAGAGCGATAAATTGGTGGTCCTATGTGATAAGGGGAAATAGGGAAAAAAAACATTGCCAAAATTAGTGATGTTGCACTTACTATGCAACTTCCATAAAAAAGGAAATGTTGCAATTATTTTTTTAAAAAAATGGAGAAAGTATGCAAGAACTAATTTCAAAATTGCAAAATAATTTAATAACTCACCTCAAATTGCCAGATGCTTCCTGAGGTTCAGATCCTGTAAGAAGATGTGCAAAGAAAATGATCTATTAAGAAATATCAGATGCAGCACTCAAGGGATGGATGGAGCTAACAAAGGAAGAAGGCTTGGATTTCAAGATAAATTATGTTACTAATGATACATGAAAACTATAAGAAGAATGAGAGTTGACACTATGCATTTCACCACAAACTCCTTATCTTAATTTAATGACCTTTATCTGAACTTGTCTTAACTGTAAATTAAACTTATTAGCCTAGATCATAACTTGTTGGCCCTTATTTGAAATTATGTTTTTATAAACCTGGAAAGAACAATGTCTGAAATGGTATGCTGCATTCAATGCAGTTCAGGTCAAACCTATGTTCCTATCTATATTTTATATGCTCCTAGTATTGAATATTTTCAAAAAGATGCATTCTGAGCAGTCTTGAAGCAGAAACCGGCAGAACTTAGAGGCAACATAAGACACTTATGCGTTGATCATATATGATCAATATGAATTGATGGCCATGCAGATAAAAGACCAGTGACCCAAGAGTAGAAGTACAATAATTACTGCAGACAAGGTAATCCTGGATTTTCATATTTTACAATGATCAACGTAACACTACATCCTTTTTTTTTTTTTTTTTTCTTTTCTGTTCGACTCATGGTAGATACGTAGCTTAAGGAAAAATGAAAAAGTTGAGTGGTGTAAGAAAAAACAAGAGAGAGTGTAAAAAGATGGGTGGATGTAAAATAAAGTAGGAGAGAATGTAGAAAGGTGGGAGGGTATAAGAAAAAATAAGAGTATCAAAAGGTATCAATATTGTTAGGAAAGAGAATGAGATGATAAAGAGGGTGTGCCAAAATAAGAATAGAGTTTGTGAGTAGAACAAAAAAAAATAAAATAAGAACACCATAAACTGAAAGTGAGTAGAGAGAAGGAAAAAAAAGAGGTAGTATTTGTAATAGCATCTTTTGTCATTATATGCACTGAACAAGGTTCCTCGGGAAGAGAAAATCTAGTCTCGGTGAGAGTTTGCTGTATTTTTGTTCAAAAGAAGGGATTCATATTTGTGGTTAGAAGAAATATGCCACTTCTTATCAACTTTTAGAAGATATAAGGCTGCTTTCTTCATAATCAGCCAAAGTAGTGTGGTTCACCAGGGTGACAGAATTTTTATTTATTAAAGAACCCACATAATACCTTCTGAACTCTGTAATTGCCGCAGGTAACTCTGTAAATCTGGACCTCCAACATTGCCTGCATAAAATAAAATATAACAGTTACATCCCACCATTATGAAATTGACAACATGGTGTTTCCATGCTTCTGCTACCTACCAGCTATCTTGGCATGGAGGGTACTGCCCTGAACAGCTCTTCTTTCTTCTTCTTCTTTCTTTAAACCTTTATGAAGAAATAGATATATGAAATCCTTTGCGGAAAAATCAGAACAATACATGTATATTGCAATAGTCTAACAGGACACAATCTCGATCTTAAACAAACAGGAGAAAAAATAATTGTAGGCAAGAATACTATCTACTACGTAGTAGAAGATTTCGAAGAAGGCATGAAATCAGCCTAATCATTAAGATGAACCTATTAACATGTTTTTAGGCATCATAAATAATCTAATAAGCAACCTTTACAGTTTACCATCACAAACCCTATTTTTTAAAGTACATCAGCAACATGTTTGCATAATTGCATGGCTATCAGACTCAAATCCACCATATTACAAAGAATAACATAAGATTTCATCTAAAAATTTCCAAAATTATGCAATTTTACAGGAGATAAGGAAACCATCCATGATGGTTTGCCATCATATAAAAATGTGCAGTTAAAGTAGTTGATATTATATTATTATCAACCACAGAAAATTCTATTGGAGATGACGTAAAAAATTAGGATAGTAGATGAATCTGTTCTAACATGGAAAAGGCTATCAACATTAGCTTCAGGCCAGTAGCCTGGTATTAATTTTGTGGACAGAGATTAATTAAGAAAACAAAAGAGACAACAACCTTCTCATAGAAAATCAAGAATACACTCACTAAAATTCCAAGTGTATGTCAGAAAGAAGAGAGAGCTTCAAACAAAGGGGAAGGAGGGTAAAAAAAATGATCTTTATGATGAAATAGGTGATAAAGAGAAAATCTTTAGGCAACTTAATGGCCAAAACTCTTCCATGATGATCAAGCAACCAAAAATACGAGAAGCAAAACCTGAAGCGAAAGAAAAAGATAAAAGGAAAAAAAGAACACTTTGACTAGAGCTACCTTCTTTAGAGGAGCTACGAATGGAAAAAGAAGCAAGCCAGAGTGCCAGACAAAATATTTAGTAATCAACAAAATAGTTGCCCCACGGCCTTTTAGAAACTCTTGCTGAGGGTAGGGCAGGTCAGATATACAACTTAATTCTTGCAATAACAGAGAAGCCGTAGGATCTTAATCCTAAACAGAACCCTAAGATTATTCTAACAAGAAGTATTAGGTTCAATCTCTACTTTTCTAGGGCAGAATTGAGGATTGGAGGTTCATTTGCACATTAAAAATTAGCTGTCTTACAAATTATGTAAATTCAACCAAATATTCCAAGGAGATTCCAGTGTTCATTTGCCCAGAAAAATGAAAATGATGAATGCTTATTGAAGATGAAACCAATAAAGTGTAGAAAATTAAGAGAGCAAAGCATATTTTTACAAAAGATGGAACATTTTTTTTTTTTTTCGCAAAATTTAGTAAGTTAAGAACGTACTACATGGTGAGAAACATACTACCTGATGACATTTTCAGTTACGAATATCTAACAACAGCAGCAATAGTGCAACTATCACGACAGACCAGGTCAAGATGTATACAGCCATTGCAAACAGACAAGGTTAACCCAATTGTAATTGATCTACATTAGTTTCATGCTTACTTTATAGCTTTCAACACCTTAATAGCTTAGCTTCTACCATAAATCCTTGAACAAAATTTAGCAAGAGGGAAGACATGAGAAAAGTATGACTTTTGCTCTGGTACTATCTGCTATATAATGCTGGAACTTTAATACTTATAAGGGAATTAAAAGCTTGATTTATTTTGTACAAAGAATCAAGTACTCAGCGGAGTAGCGGAGAAAGTAGGAACAATATGCAAAAGCAAAATGTTGGAGTAAGCAAAAATAACTTACGCATCACGTTTTGTCTAACAAATTCACGCTTGGCCTCAAGTTCAGCCATCTCCTGCAGAGTATCCAGCAAGGTATCAAAACAACCATCAAGAAATCACCAAAGGGGACAAAATAAAATAAGCATTTAAGAGATCGGAGAAATAGGGTTGACGCAAAATCAATTGTAAAAAAGGTTGATCGACAATAGTACATTCTTGGTCAAAGTTAAGGTTCTTCAAAAGCAATAAATGAAGCTCCAACTCTAATGTATCCCACTACAACAAGGCAATTAGAATTGCACATGCCCTGTTCCTGGAGTACAGTGCTCCCGCCAGCATGTGCATCAAACCTGTGAGCAGCCATGCACATGCACACATGACAGGGCCACAGGGGTAGTGTGTGTTGCGCATTCACCACATTTGATGCCATACCACCAAAGCACTTAGTTTGGAGCCACATGGTAGTGTTCAACCACTAAGCCATCAGATATAGATATCATGCACTATTTGAAACTCTCTTGCCTAATCAAGATAGAGTCAACAGTCTTAACCCCCTTGCTGTATGTAATGTAGAAATATAATAACATAACACCAAGAGTCTCTTGTGTATCAAGGAGGGTCATAAGCAAAGACATCCATGGGATCAAGTAAAACCAAGTGTCACTCACTCACTCACTCTCATGCTATGCTTGGCACCAATAATAAAAGACATGTAATATATTAAACCCACCACAATCACATTAATCATGGTCCGCGTAGATGAATAAAGATGGTCTAATTCCAAATAGGAAAAATTTCACGCTTCCTAATGTTTTGTTAGCATGGCTAGAGAAATCTCCAATATATTGTATTACAAAATTACAATCAATTAGAAGTCCAAGAGACCAGGACCGTAGAGAGGTGATAGTCATGAAACACATGAACTATGTGATAATATCTCATGCAATATATCCTTCTTTCACAAAACCCTCACTATTGTAAATTAGTAGTACTAATTGCCATCAAAGTAAACTATATACGTCCTGTGTCAAAAGGAAGATCATACAAAGAAATTATAATACATTAAAAATCTGAGATAGCTGTCCTCGAAAAAAAAATGAATAACAAATAGTATTGCTCTAGGGATCATTAGACCTGAAGGATACTTTCTTTAAAATGGAGTAAAATGACGGTACCATTTGATGATATATTGGTATAAATGACATTATTGTGTGGCTTTGGGGGTCTGAAACCAAAATATAAAAATGTTGAAGAGAATTTAAGTGATAAAGGTTACGTGCTTTAAGAACAGACAGCCACAGAGCAATCATTTTTCAATAACATAGAATAATATAAAGAACGCAAACTAAATTCAAATTATACACTGCTGTGTCATCAAAAGATCCCTACCCTGCTTCAAGGATTTTAAGAAGTTTTGTCAGATAATGAAATTAAGACCCATAAGAAAAAGGTGGAGGCAGATGCTCTACTATACCTCTGGAGTTGGAGATTTTTTGCGTTGTCCGTTAAGCCAACATATCCATTCAACTGCAGTAATCATGTTCGATGGCACTCAGTTTGGGTAATCGATGCATGATCCAAGAAAGAAAGAGATTACAGGGTAGACAAACAACAACAACAACAACAACAACAGCAGCAACAACAACAAAGCCTTAGTCTCAAAATGATTTGGGGTCGGCTAACATGAATTATCATAAGGAACCGTCCAAAAAGGAAAAAGAGCATAGCAACAAATTACAAATTCGATAAAATTAGTCCCACGATATGAAATAGTGAGATCTGACCAATACCTGGAAAGCTTCATCTTCATACTAGTACAAATAAAACTTAAGATTGCTTGTTGTTCAGTATACTGGAATTTACCTGGAATTGACGTAGGATCTTCTTCTCCCTTAAATATCACCCATCTCTTTTCTTTCACTATTTATTAACAAAAAGATATTAGTGTACATAATGAGGTAAGGAAAGAATTATAACTTCCAATTACATATAAAATTTGAACTGTAATGCAAGCAACATCATCTAAGCCTATGACAATTAGTCAAATTAGACACTTCAATATATATTCAATTCCTTGTGACATTGAAGTATTGACCAATTAATTAGAGTGAAATTAAAATGAAAGCAGTGACATGAGTTATAGACTTATATTAGTTAATGAGACACAGATATGAGCAACAAATTATGGAGTATTACTTGGCTTCTTAACTTTTTATGTCAGCTATGGTGTCACCTATGCTACTTGAACCATTTGACAAGGCTTAAGTCAAGTTCCTGCTCAATTTTTCCATAGGTCTTATACTCTTATATAAGGATCTCTAAACCATAAGTTACTGTAACGAATCAGAGCAAGCAACCTGTGCTTTATATAAACAACAGCCAACAGAGGAAAGGACAGGGTCTGAGACCTCTGAGCATTATCTCAACCAAGGTGGTGAGACACAACCACACCAAGCAACAGCAACTTAAAGCTGCAGCCACTAGTTGGCACATTGGGATAATGACAAAGGGTAGTAAAGTTAGTAATTAAAGCTGTACTATTTAGCTAAGTAGTATAAAAAGGTAGAGAGGGGTAGAAGGAAGATAGGCAGCAATTTGTATTGAAGGGAAACCTTAGAGAGTCATGGCCTAAAACCATTTTGAGAGTGATAGCCTAAAGCTATTAACCTTCCTTTAACCTTTCGGCCATTTTCAATCAAAATTCAAGCTTTAAGCGTTATTTACTTCCATTACTATATCAGAATTATAAACCCAGAAAATCAGTCCATTACAGTTACAGCATCCAAAACTGATTTTCCATAGGTCAGTCAAGTAAAGTTAAAAGTCTTTTTTCTAGTTTCCAAATCTAATCTTCCAACGATATCTTTACGATACAACTTTTAGTCTTTGCTAGTGCTAGATTGTTGTTTTTGGTTCTACATATGCTACTAAAGATCAAGTTGTCTCTTGAGTGTGAGTTATAGCATTCAAAGCCAATTTGCGGGCAGCATTTTGAGTCTGATATTATTTATGGCCGAAATAACAATAATGGACACCTGATGACCCAGAGTAGCCACATTGGAGAGGAAGATCCTTAGTGTCTATCTTTTTCGACTACCCCTAGCATTCCTAATCCCTAGTAATATTTCATTTACATGGTAATTATTTTGTCAAGCCTTGATACTGTCTTTTAGCAGTAAATTCCATTATAAAAGGAATATAATAGTTGTAAGCTTGCAAAGGAGGGGGACCAGAAAGGCACCAGAAATCAAGTAAATATTAAAGCAACTTTGATTTCGCATGAATACAGGAAAATGAACCAACCAAAAAGGCCCAAAATAAACACCCTATGAGCATGAGCAAAGAGAGACTAAATGCACCACATGATTTAATATGAAAACCAAAGAAGACTACCAATCGCGTAAAATCTAGTAATTCCTCTCCTGCCAAAGCATCCACATACAAGCAAATGAAGCAGCCTGCCACAAAATTTTATCCCCTTTATGCCTCCAATACTATACACTGGAAGTGTAGACTCTAGATGACCCCTTAATAATAAATAGATCATCCCAGTGAAGTTGTGAAAACCCACAGGTCTGAAGAGTCTCTAACATTACTGCCCCAGCCAAAATAGATGGTTTTCAGGCATCCTTGCTAGGCCGCTAGCAATACACAAAGAGCACAATTGAGGATTTGAGAAGATAATGATGTGGACTAATTGAACCTCACATATATCAATATAAGCCAGTATCATAGGTGGTCAAGATTCAAGACAAATGATGTGGACCTTGTGTGGCCCTACTTCCCTAGAAGTCCATTACCAAGTGATTACCTTCTATTTCTCAAGACTTCTCATTGGTATCCCCACAATTGGTTTATCGGACACGAAAAGCAGCTCATGCCGGCATCAATGAATTTCAGTTCTAGTGTCTATTGTTTGTGGCAATTGTGCAATCTCAACAGGCTTCTTTTATTCTAATAGTAACCAGTGTTAGAATTAGATTTTAATAAAAGCACAGGTTCTCAAAGGCTATGGTTAACAGTTTGAATTATCATTTCAAATCACAGGGTACAATTGGAGACAGTTTCAAGTGGTAATTACTAACTTATCACATCATTAAGTTTCTTTTCCCCCAAAAAAATCTATGATCCTTAAATTGATCTCCATAGTCAATACCTGATCCTTTTCTTGAGCCTCAAGTTAATTTTTTGCTGTTGACTGACTGTAGAAGTCTCGAAAGATGTAGAAACCAACTACAAAGTGTTACTACTTTGCTTGCTTTAAATCTTTGGTGTAGCAACTAGGTACACTAATAGGGAAAGTAGTTAAAGCCACAAGGCCCCAGCCCAAAAATAAGCGGTTTTTCTCAATGACCACATGTGGAATCAAAATACTCATCAGTAATCAAAGTTGATGCTTTTTTATTTTTTTGAAAGAAAAGTTGATGCATTTTGGTATGCCATAACTAATAACAACTAATCTCTGCAGGATACTCCAACAATTCGCCTGAGGCTGAAACCTACAATTGTTCAATGGAATGCTAGCCTTACCTACTTCTCCAGATAGTACAAAAGGAAACCATCAATTCAAATTTTAACTGATTGTTCTGCAATTAGGAGGGAAATCTCAAAATTTTAAGCAGCTCTCTAGTAAGCACACTAATCCCAAACATTAGGAGCTCAAAAAAGCTACATGCACATCCTCTTTTAAAAGATCATCCCCCCTCCCGTTCTTTTCTATCGAGTACACCCCATTTCTTCGCCGTGTTATTGTACAATAAAGCATTATAGAGGCTTCCATCTCATCACTATCAATTTCAAGCATCAAAAGCTACATGCTCATTCTCTAAATTCTCCTAAAATGTTCTTACAATGTCCAAAACAATCCAACATCATGCATACTCTATGCTTTCAAACACGATTTCGAATTCTACGTAAACCCAATTTTCATTGATTAATTCCTCCAGAACTCATTAATAATTTTCAATCATAAAACTACCAACAACAAATTCTCTCCCCGATACTAATCATTTCATATAAAACTATCAGATAAAAGACACCCCAGTAGTCATATATACAAAACAAGCAATTTGGTCATCAAAATATCCCAAAAAAATACAACTTTTAGCAGATAAACAATCAACCTACTCTTTAAATTAAGCAAAATAGAGAGAAATTAAAATGGTAAAAAGGGGAATGAAAGAAAGAAAAAAGACCCACTTACTGACTCCATCAACGGATTCATTTCGAGTGAAATAACGATTCCCAGCTTTGTCCATGCCCACCATTGTCCGCTTGCTGAATAACCCTGCTATCTTTCCTAGAAATTTCGACATCTTTCTTTCTGTGGTTTTTCTTTCAGATTCAACAATGGAATTCTTTTGCAAATGTATGATGGGAGTATGATTTAATTGGAAATTCTTACTCAAACTGTTTTGATTTCGGTAGCTCTTTCTCTACATCACCTCTCTGAAATTCTGAAAGAACCCAAAAAATTACTACGTGTTCAAAACCATTGAATCTTCAGTTGATGGTTCGGGTCAGTCAGCTTTGGGTTTGGGTTTCAAATTTGGATTTGATTTTGGGTCAAATTTAGATAGATCAAAATATTAGAGGTGATCATTGGACAGGCCGGAGCTAAAAAATTTTGCCCATTTCTCGGGCCGGAATTTTTGTGCTCAAAATGGTCGGGCCGTGCGGGCTTTTTGGGTCATTTTCGGGTCAGGCCTAAAAATCAACTAAAAACGCATTCCCAAACCCGCCTAAAAAAAACGAGCAGGTTAGGCCCAACCTGATTTCAGGCCGAAAAATTCTGCCCAAAATCGGGCCGGGCCGGGCCATACTTGATCAGGTCTACAAAATATACAAATTAAAGAATTTTTTTTTTGGGATCACTTTAAGAATCACGAACTTCTATAAAATACTTGGAGATGAAAGTAGGGATGTTAGTGGGCGCGTTAAGAATGAGACTTGGGCGGGATGGGTCTCGATTTAGCGGGTGATGGGGGTAAGGATGGGGATAAAAACCATACCAGTCATGGGTGATGGGGTAGGGGTGAATTTTAGGTTGTACCTGCCCCATTGCCACCACGTCCCATCTAGGGCTGGCAAACGGATCAAGTCGGGTTGGGTTCGTGTTCGGGTCACCTAATTTTGGGTCAGGAACCCCCCAAACCGACCTGATCCATTTAACTTTTTCGGGTTGAAAAACCCTAACCTGAACCTGATATTTTCGAGTTCGGTCAACCCGAAATTGACCTAATATGACCTAACCTTTTTTTTTTTAAATCAGGTTTTTTTAACCTGAAATTGAAACGATTTTCTTATTTATGCTTTTATATATTAAAAAAAATTGTTACCAATAAAAACATTATAAAATTTATACAAATTACAAACTACATTTCAACTTGAATATATGAGTAAATTACAAATAAGAAAAAATGTCCAAGTTAATAAATGATATTAGGGAGTGTATTGTCGGTGGTTTTGATTCGACGATGGTGGAAGGTTTGTTAGTAGGAGAAAATGTAAGAGTTTTGTTTGAAGTCTGTGATGCTAATATTCACCCAAAGTCATCCAAAAGGCAAGCTATCATATTACAGCAACAATTAAAGAGGTTGTTTGTACATGTGAATTAAGCTACCATCCAAGACTGATGGAACCTGTAGTTATCTGCTTGAAATCCAAGTCCATGAAAAATATCTAGAAATAATTTTTGAGCTCGTTAGTCAAACTCCTTGCGCACCTTCTTGTTCGAACTTCAACTGGTTTTTCAAAAGATTTAGCAGATGCAACTTCAAGTCAGGCTCTTCCACTATGCTGGTTTGATCATTTGCAAGTAATAAATGATATTAGGGACTGCAAATGAACATTACATTAAACACACTAACACTATTATTTTAAAAGTTTTCACCTACCCTCTTTAAACTTACATATACAGTACAGCACATTAAATACCGCTCTAATGATGAAAAATTACACATTTCATACTTCCCGTTAATTTTCATGAATTTGGGAGGGCAACTAGTGTGTATAAAAATTCACCATTATCCTTAATGGTAAAACATTTCACAGTTTATATCATACTGTATAATCATTTATATTAGCTTCCTCCTTCAAAATTAATTCTTGATATATTATTTAATTCTGATTCGTATTTTGTTAGCTTCTTTTTTAATTTCCCACAAGTGAAAATTGTACTTTACCTTAAAGAAAAAAAAAATAGAATTTCTCTCTATCTATTGTTAATATAAAAAAAATTCACAAAATTTGAGTTAATTTTTGAAAATGGCTTTATTGACTTTTGGTACCCATCTAAAATTTTATTTTATTTTGGTTTCTATCAAAGTTACAAAATAGGGTAAATTTATAAGGGGGGCATGTTTGTAAAGTCGTATTAAAATACGGGTGTGGTTTAGCGATTCACTTAATGAATATCTTTTTTGAGATTTATATTTTCATATTTTTTTGATTTGTTATACTCGTAGTAATGATTTAATAAATTTCTCTTCTTCTATATTTTTTTCCTTTATTTTTTTTACCATTAATTTATAAAATAATTTTATTCATGATTTTTAATCTAGCATTAAAATTTTAGATATATCAAAGCTAATTCGTTACTTTTACCTAGGTGGCGATATAATTTTTTTAATTCAAAAATAAAATATAAATCTCTTTTATCATTGGTCGAAATAATTAGATTACTTATGTGACGCTCCGAATGCTCTTGAAAAACGCCTACTTTATATATATATATATATATATATATATATATATATGTATATATATATATGTATATATATATATGTATACATATATATGTATATATATGTATATATATATGTATATATATATATATGTATATATATGTATGTATATATATGTATGTATATATATGTATGTATGTATGTATGTATATGTATGTATGTATGTATATATATGTATATGTATATGTATATGTATATATATAATATTTATATATATGTATGTATATATATGTATATGTATATGTATATATATATATATATATATAATATTTATATATATATGTATGTATTATTTTCATAACGAAATATATTTTTGTTTCTCACTAAATTATATTTGTTTTGTAAGTCATAAAGAAAATGCATTTAATTTTTTTTTTAATGATTTATGTCAACAAATTTATTTATTTGATTTTAAGTTAATTTAAATATTTTGAACCCACTTATAAAATATGCTAGATTCGCGAAATCCAAATGCTTGAACAATATGTAGGGAAAGTTATTGATCTCCTAGCCAAGTGGCAAGGGACAACGGTTGATAGTGTGGTTTCTTTTCCTTCAAACTCAGTCAAACTCCATGTCCACCTCCCTCTTCGAACTTCAATCTGTTTTTCCAAAGTTGTAACAGACGCAACTTCTTGTCAGTGTCTTTTACAGGTTCAATCACTTGCAAGTGATGAAGGGGGATCCACTAGACCCTTCATCACTAGCAGGAAAAGCTGTTGCTAAAATCCGCAAAGAGAAGGGTTTAAAAGCTTTGGGTTGATACTGCTTTTTCGTACAAATTTTGTTGGAGAAATTTGGTAATGTTTGAACTCTTGTATTTTCAATTTTATGGTATAAATGTTACTGCATAAGAGATAAACTGATGTAATGCTATATTTTGCTACATTTTTAGAGAGACTATTCAATAAAGCTCTTGAGGTATATGTCTTTTTTTTCAGCTGCTTCATTTTTTTTCAGATCTGAACCCTGTTTGACATAACTGCTAGAAAGTACAGCTTGTTTCATGTGTGATTTTGTTCAACCATTCTTGTGGAGGCAATTCATCATAATCCTCGTCATCTTCATCACTCCCTACAACATCACGTACGAGATAATAATCACTGCAATCACGATTACGATCAAGAAATGAAGAACAACTTCCATTATTCTTTTCTATTATTGGACTTTTGCCATAGATTTTAGACCAATAAGGAATGTTGCAGGGGCTGAACTCTGCACCAATTCCAACTTTTTACTATTATCAATGTGTTGATGTTAATGAGATCCTGAAATCATTCTTGCTGCACTTGGAAGGCGTCTTGAGAACGAGTGTGGAGTTCTTGGACAGCCGTTGGATTCACCGATCTTGAATCTGGTTTCGCTCTCCTCCTTGACCACTGCCTACACATCTTTTTCTTTGAACTCTTCACTTCTGTATTGCCTCAAATATCTGTTCTCCATATTTTGGAAATACACTTACACCAAAGGAAAACCGCTTAATACGTTGTTTTGCTTACAAGAACTAATGTCTTCTGCCTTTAAAGCTTCAGGAATTTGACAGAAGAAAAGGCATTGCTTGGTTTGGATCCGTTAATCTTTAACAATGCAACATTGGCGCAAGGGAGTAAATGTCCATCAATGACCTACCATGTCATCTACGCTCTTGTTCAAATCCAATGAGCTTTCCAATTTTGTGGAGGGATTGAAACGTTTAGTTAAATTGGATCCTATAGTCAAATACTCTGTTGAGGAAACGAAGAGCATATTTTACACGCTATTGGGGATCTCCATTTGAGACAAGTATGATGGAGCTTGAAAATTTCTTTGGTTGGTCAATGAAAATCTCTAATCCCATTGTTTCACTATGTGAAACAATCAATTAGCCTATCAGTGAAGGAGTGGTAACCTGGACCAAGAACAATCTGATTAGTTTTCATATATTGCAGATACAATGGAAGGGGATTAATTATGTGCAATTGATGGAGGTTTGATTGGACCGAAAGACAATTCAAAGTCTCGTAGAAAGGTTTTAGTGGAAAATTTTCATTGGAACGCAGATCTTGCCAAAATAATTTGGTGCATTAGGCCAAATTCAAAATGCTAAAATATCCTCCTTGATTCTTGCAAGGGCATACTCCACTTAAATGATATTAAGGAGGGTGTTGTCGGTGGTTTTGATTTTCGGCAATGACGGAAGATGTGTAAGTAGGGGAAAATATAAGAGTTGTGAAGAAAATCAGAGTATAAGTTTGTTGTTTGTTCAACAAGAATATTTCAGAATATTGAATGGAGGCAGAAGAATGTTTTTTGAGGCTCACAACCCTAAAAAGATATGCTTCTCATTGATATACACACACCTTGATTACTACCAAACAAAACTACAGCTCATTGTTCCTGTCAAGGCCAAAAACAAACAAAAAAAACAATCCGAAATCTGCACTAAGTATAGCTATACAAATACTATACATATATACAAATTTCTACACCCCCCTTTCAAGTTGGACTTGGGACAATGTAGCAAGTCCCAACTTGGAAGATATGAACCAATGTTGATGTGTAGGGAGAGATTTGGTGAGTGACTGAAGAGAAGATTTAACATGACAAGTTGTAATTGAACCATTTTCAATGTTATCTTGAATATAATAGCAGTCCAATTTGAGATGCTTTGTTCTTTCATGGAGTGATGGATTATGTGCAATATACTCTGCTTATTTATTATAACAAAATAAGGTGACAGGAAGAGGAAAATCCTGTCCCAAATCTTCAAATAAACCAGCGATCCATGATATTTCACTTGTGGTTTGTGACATGCTTCGAAACTCTGCTTCACAAGATGATTTTGAGACCACCTTTTGCTTCTTTGTTTTCCGGGAAACCAAAGCACCTCCCAAGAATACACAAAAACCTGTCAAAGATCGTCCACTGAAAGCACAACTCCCCTAGTCTTCATCACTATATGCTGACAGTAAATGATCAGTATTACTAAGATAGAACAATCCTAGATCAACTGTTCCTTTGATGCATTTCACAACATGTAGAGCAGCTTGCATATGTGGTTTTCTAGGACAATTCAAGTATTGACTCAGTTGCTGAACTGAGAAAGACAAATCAGGCCTATATAAATTCAAATATAGCAATCTTCCCACCAATCTTCTATAACTTTCTGGATCTTCAAGTAATTCTCCTGTTTCTGTTGGTAACTTCACTCCCTTTGGAAAGGGGAATGTACATGGCGTGCATTCATCCATTCCACTATCTCTCACAATATCTAGAGCATATTTTCTTCAATTGATCATTGTACCCTTGTCACTTCTAGCTATCTCAATTCCCAAGAAATATCTCAAGAATCCCAAATCCTTAATTGTAAAGGCACTATCCAACTTCCTTTTCATAGAAGCAATTGTTTCTTCATCATCTCCAGTGATGATTAAATCATAAACATACACCAATATGATACAAGTCTTATCATTCACAGTCCTTACAAACAGAGAGTAATCTCTTCTACACTGTTTGAAACCATTTTCTACCAAAAATGACTTGAGCTCAATATTCCATTGCCTCGAAGCTTGCTTTAAACCATACAAAATTTTCCTCAACTTGCAAACTTTATCCCTTGTTCCATTCTTGTATCCTTCTGGAATTTTCAAGTATAATTCTTCATCTGAGTTTCCATGCAAAAATGCATTATTTACATCCAACTGATGTAAATTCCAATTTCTTGCAGTTGCCAAAGCAATGATGATTCTTACACTTGCAAATTTAGCCACTGGTGAAAAAGTAGCCTTATAATCCTTTCCTTTCACTTGTCTATCCCCTCTTGCTACCAACCTTGCCTTCAATCTCACGATCTTCCCATTTGGATCCAAATTTACAACATAAACCCACTTGCTGTCAATAGCTTTTTTCTTCTGGTAAATCAACTCATTCCCATGTTCCATTGCTATCTATTGCCTGTAACTATTTCTGCACTGCCTTCACCCATCTTGGATCCTTTGAAGCTTCACTGTATGTAGTTGGTTGATCTATCTTCATCACATTGTTAAAAGATACAATGTAATCTGGTGTATAATACTCCTGATTATTAAGAGTAACTGTGCTAAATTCACATCCCTTTAATCAGTCTCTTGATTAATATCCTTCAACTGCTGCAGCCTCTTGTCACATTCAAAGCCTATATACTTTGACGGTGGTCTTCTGTTCCTCATGGATCTTCTCAATGCCTCTTGCTGCATGTTATGTTCTTGATCATTCTCATCATTCTGCTCTTGATGAGTTATTTCTTCACTTTTGTCTTCACTTAGTGTCTGAACATCTTGTTCTAATACTTCTTGCATAACTTCATTCACATCTTCCACTTGGATTTCTTCCTCTCTTAGTGGAATTTCCTGCAAAATATCATCAGACATCTCATCTGATGTCTCAAAATTCAAAGTAATAATTCTAGGATTTTCAGCATAATCCTTGTCATTTTGCTTATAAGGAAAAATATTGTCGTTAAATATTACATCTCGAGATACAAATATTTGCTTTGATTCCAAATCAAATACTTTGTATCCCTTTTGGTCACTAGGATATCCAATCAGCACACATCTAGTTCCTTTAGAAGCAAACTTATCCCCTTTTCTATATCTGTTACCAGCATAGCATAAACATCCTATAACTTTCAAATGCTCATACTTTGCTTTTATTTTCATCAATCTTTCAAAAGGTACTTCCCAACTCAATACTGCACTAGGCAACAAATTGATGTTGTGAGTTGCTGCAAGCACACATTCACCCCACATATTCTTGGGTAGACCAGCATGTACTCATTGCCCTTGTTGTCTCTATGAGTGCCTATGCTTCCATTCAACCCTTTCATTCTGATGCGGATTCCCTGCCACACTTCTTTGGTGTAAAATACCCTTTTCTTTCATTATTGCAGAACATTCTGACTGAAATGTTTCAGTCCCATTGTCACTTCTGATCACTTTAATAGAGGTATTAAAATGATTTTGTACATCTGCAATGAACATTTGTACCACCTGTTTAACCTGTTCCTTATTTGACATCAAATAGGTCCAGGTCACTCTTGAATGATCATCCAAGATAGTGAGAAAATAACTTGCTCCTGTCAAATTTTTAGTTCGATATGGCCCCATAAATCCATATGAACCAAACAAAAATAGAATCTGCAATTGAAGAACTTGGATTAAAAGTTAATTTGTGATGTTTTGCCAAACATGTATCACAAAAAAATTCCGAAACTCCATTACAGTTACAAATACTCAAATGTCTCATCTTAGATAAGGAAGTATGTCCTAATCTGGCATGTAATAAGTCTAAGTTTTCTCTAGGCTTACTACTCAAAACTTTTTTCTTACAAGCCATTACACTGACTTTATTCTGCTCCTCCCGTGCTCCATTTTTTCCAATTGCCTTACACTTCTTGTCCAGCTTCAGCTTGTTAAGTCCTCCACTCTTCTCTCCATATCCAACTACTTCTCTACTAGAAGGGTCCTGAAATAGACACCCATAGTCAGTGAATATCACTTTCAATTTTGTTTGCTCCATTAATTTACTCACTGACAGTAGATTATGCTTAAACTCAAGTATATGCAGCACATTTTGAAGTATTATTTGTTCACTTAACTTCACAGTTCCCATTTCTTTCACATTTCTAATTGTTCCATCCGGCATTCCAACACTAACATGTTTCCTTAGTGTTCTTATGTCACAAAACAATTTATTATCACTGGCCATGTGGTCAGATGCCCCTGAATCTATCAACCAACTGCTTCTATCTACATTCTCATAAAATGCACAAGCATTTGAGGTAGAAACAATACTTGCAAAATTGCTCGTGCTCACTACATTACCTGAACTGCTTACTTGACCTTGCTGCTTTTGACTCATAGCCTTCATCACCTACTGCACCACAACATTCACCATCTCAGAGTCTGGCTTCTCACCTTTACTTGATTGTCCTTGTTTAGATGATTCTAGCGGATCATCTTCAACAAATTGTGTCGTACCAGACACATTTGCAGCATACTTCACTCCTTTTCCTTTGGGATTATTCTTAAACCAATCTAAATACCCGTAAATCTTGAAGCATCCATCTATTGTATGTCCCTTTATCTTGCAATTTTCACACCACTTCTTTTCTTTTTCTTCCTTAGTTTCTCTTCTCTGAAAATTACCACTCGGATAATTATTCCTCTGATAGTTACTATTCTGTCTATTCATATGCATCGGTCTAGCAGCAAGTAAAGCATTCGCTTCTAGGCCTATCTCATCCATTCCTGATATTTCTTTCTATTTTTCGACCTGTAAGACCATCTGATGTGCCCTATTAACACTCGGCAATGGATCCATACCTATAATGTTCTCCTTCTGGTTGTCATACCCTACATTCAAGTCCATCAGGAAATCCATGACCTTATTCTTCTCTTCTCTCTCCATCAACTTCTTCATAACCCCACATGTGCATTTATTGAAAATTCCACATGTACACTCAGGAATTCCCTCCAGACTACTGAGTTGATCTTATCCAGCCTTCAGCTTCCCAAAGTATTCTAAGACACTCAAATTGTTCTATTTCAATCCATTCAGTTCTTTCCTAAGCATATTGATTTGGGGTGCATTTGACTGCCCAAATCTCTCTGCTAGTTTAGTCCAAAACTCTCTAGCTGAGTTTACTATCAACATTTGTTCAGCTATTTGAGGTGTTACACTAGCAGATAACCAACATCTAATCATACAATCATTTCTTATCCACCTACTATAATCATCAGAAGAAACATTCGGTTTAGTTATCTTACCCTCAATGAATCCCAGCTTGTTCTTTGCCCCCGGAGCCATCCTAACACTTCTGCTCCAGTTGACATATATAGTTCTTTCCATTGAAGATAATCGTTCCCAATGGTGTGTTCAAGTTGTCCGAGCTTCCCAAATAATAAGGATCAACATAAGGAACAACTTGTTTTCCTTCCATTACGAAAGTAAAATTTCTGGTTCAAAGATTAAAACTTTGAAAGATCAAAGATTGAATCTTTGATGTTCAGTTCAGTGTTTGGTTAAAGATTCGAGCTTTCTATTTCAGAAAGATTCATATTTGTTTAATCTCACAACCTGGTGAGCTCTGATACCATGAAGAAAATCAGAGTATAAGTTTGTTGTTTGTTCAACAAGAATATTTCAGAATATTGAATGGAGGCAGAAGAATGTTTTTCGGGGCTCAAAACCCAAAAAAGATCTGCTTCTCATTGATATATACACGCCTTGATCACTACCAAACAAAACTACAGCACATTACTGAGGCCATAAACAGACAAAAAAAACAATCCTAAACCTGCACTAAGTATAGCTATACAAATACTATACATATATACATATTTCTACAGTTGTGTTTGAAGTCTATGATACTCATATTTACCTAAAATCATCCAAAAGGAAAGTTATTCATATTGCAGCAACAACTAACATACTTTTCATACATGTTTGAAATAAGCTCCCAACCAAGACTAATGGAGCCTGTTTACTTGCTTGAAATCCAGATCCATGAAAAATATCTATGAATAATGTTTGAGCTCTTAGCCAATAGGCAAGGGAAAGTGCTTGACAATATGACTTCTTTTGCTTCAAACTCGTTAGTCAAACTCCATACGCACCTCGCTGTTTAAACTTCAATCGGTTTTTCAAAAGATTTAGCAGATGCAACTTCAGGTCAGACTCTTTCACAATGCTGGTTTGATCACTTTCAAGTGATGAAGGGGATTAATAACACTTAATTCATCCCAATTTACTAGAGTATTTCATATGTTATACCAAATTTGAGAAACTGTGAAAGTGTTTCAAACTTTCAATAACTAAACTAGAATAAATGTTAAAAATAACCAAAAAAAAAAAAAAAAAAAAAAAGAAGAAAAAAAAGTGTGAAGTTAAAATTGGGATGGAAGTAGTTTAGTACTATTGTACATTTTTGGATTCTATTTGAATCAAAATTAGAATCTGGATTGGATTCGTAATTGTGAGGCCTAGTCAACTCTTTTATCAATATCTCCGTTTATGACAAGCCTTTTACACTTTGTTGTTTGATTTAAAGACCAAAGTTTGGGGGCTAAGTAGTACTTGGAGGCTGATTATTCGTAGCATGGTAGAAACGTTAAGTAGAACACTTTCAAGTTGAGGCTCTGAAGTCTGAGTTGAGTTGGGCTACAAGTTGTGCTTTGTGTGTTCGAGTCGAGTCAAAGATTTTCAATATCAAGTTGAATTAGGCTAACAAGTCTAGAATTTTTTTTTATCTATTGTCATTCAACTCACCCTTGTAAATTGCAATGAACTCATTCAATTATCAATTATAATGTTAAAGGACCAACTCAACCTAAAAATTTAAGCTGATGGTTGAGGCCTACGAGTATGTTTTATACTCTATCATGCCCCTTCACATGAGAGCCCTTTGAAAAAGTGGATGCGTCTCCCGCATACCCTGCGCGAAATATTTCACTTTAAAAGGAGGGGTCGATGAAATTCGAACCCATGACCTTTGAGTCACGCTGGTTCTGATACCATGTTAAAAATTATGCTAAACTTGCAGTATAAAAGGCAAATTAAAGTGACAACTTGTGTCTTTAATGCAGAGAAAGAAAACGAGAATCAAGATTCTAAAATCTTGAAAAAGTTAATTTAATAATGGAATATTTAGAAAACAAATAAATTTGTGGAAGCTAGATTGAAAAACCTAAAGTTGTGATACCATGTTAAAGGACCAACTCAACCTAAAGCTTAAGCTGATGGTTGAGGCTCAGGAATATGTTTAATACTCTATCATATAAAAACATATATATTCCCAATCTTTCACGTATTGATTGACATAAACAGCTCATTCCATCAAAATATCAAATGGAGGTGTAGCCCCTAAAACATAGTAGACCAAAGCAAAGTTACATAGTGAATCGGAATTCAACACAAGGAAAAAAAAAAATTGCTAGCAGACCCTAGCATCATTAAGTTTTTCTAAAATCCATTTCTGTTACAGTATGTGAAAGTTTTTTGGACAATACTGTATAGTATGCGCAACTAATAAGTAATGTGCATGTTACTTCCACAAAACGTTCTCAATAAATCCTACATACCAATACCATGGTTCATTACACGAAACAAATCCTATTGTAAAATACATTATTATATTAAGTGATGCAACACTAACACTTTTTCATGAGCATAATCAAAATTCTGAATCATACAAAATTTGCAGTTTGATTTATAGATTTGAACTAGAAAGAAATGTATCAAAATCTACCCAACTATACAAAAACATTGCCGAAGATACAAATTACTACTACCTGATGCATACATAAGACGTGCATAAATTGACACAAATCAAAGAAACCCAGTTTTTGACAAAATAGCATTCCTCACCCTGCTGAGATCCCTCCCTTTGAGTGTTCTCCCAACACCTTCACAAACAGAAAATGAAGAAATCTGACTCCTAGCAAGCTTCTTAGCCAACCATTCATGCGGAGGCAATTCGCCATCACCATCATTATCATTCTCATAACCCTCATAGTCCTCGTCATCCCCACCACTCCCTGCAGCATCACGTACGAGATAATAATCATTGGATTCACGATTACGAGCAAGAAATGAAGAACTGCTTCCATTATTCTTCTCTATTGGACTTTTGCCATAGATTTTAGACCAGTCAGGAACGTTGACAGGGGCTGAACTCTGCACCAATTCCAACTTTTTACTATTATCAATGTGTTGATGTTTCTGAGATCCTGGAATCATTCTTGCTGCACTTGGAAGGCGTCTTGAGAACGAGTGTGGAGTTCTTGGACAGCCGTTGGATTCACCAATCTTGAAGCCGGTTTCGCTCTCCTCCTTGATCACTGCCCACACATCTTCTTCCTGGAACTCTTCACTTCTGTATTGCCTCAAATATCTGTTTTCCATTATTTTGGTTATATACTTACACTAAAGGATTACCTCTCAATACTTCGTTTTGCTTACAAGAGTTAATGTATTCTGCCTTTAATACTTCAGGAATTTGACAGAAGAAAAGGCATTAATTATTGCAGCACTTTTGGGATTTGCCAGCTATAACCCAGAAGCCAATAGTGCAAAAGAAGCATTAAACAAATTTTACAACAATGGTAGCAAGGACAGAATCTGCAGGATCAGAAAATATAAAAATAATTAACAAACCAAAGAGATTCCAAAAAGTCAATCAATAATTTACATCAAATTATAAATTCAGTAAATTTGCAATTTTTTTTATAAAAAACGAATTCAGGCATTAAACTTCTGCTATAAGATCTAAGAAAGACCTGTATCTGATCTGATCTTCTGAGTAAACTGCTGTTCAAAATTTACCTCATGGCTAACTGAGAAAATTACAAAGCAGCAGTCAAAAAGTGTTTTCTGAGTGATCCCATACAAGACATTCACAAGACATACAAATATATATAAGAGTATAAAATATAAGAAGACAAACTCTTCTTATTTAATGATAATTTTAAACAATTAGACTTTCTCTATAATATACTTAACTAATTAAGATTAGTGTACCTTTTTCGTTAAAACAGGTCAGAATTAGTAGTGCTATGTTTTTATAGTTGTTGGAGGCCTAATATATAATTTTACTGTCATTACTATTAGGCTGGCAATTGAATAAAATAATGAGAAAATTATCTTTGGTCCCAACCACACATATTTTCCCAGTTGTTTCCTATAAGTCATTTCCTACTATACCAGATTATTTTCTTTTTTAGAAAATAAGTATCCTGTAAACTTTGAATCTGCATCATGGCTTGCTTGTTTAACAGTAATTAGTCTAAATACTCACTCTTATTCATAATTTTCATGTATATACACTATTCGTGTGCTTACTTAGACCACATTTTTCGGAAACATATAAACCACAAATATTATCATATTATGAAAATATTGCTGTATTATTCTTAACATATATTATCAAAATATCAATTCTTTGAAATTTTTGCTAGTAAATAATTATATAAATTCATAAATTCATGAAAAAGTTGTTTGTAGACAAATGTGCCCAAGACAAATAAGGTATTATGGGACAAAGAGAATATGTTTTAGTATGTGAATATGCTTAGGTGATTGGTTGGTTACTTGTGGAGAAAGGTGAGATTAAAAAATATTGCAAAAAGACATGTGATTTTATCCTTTACATGACTAAACTGGGTAAGAAGCCGCCTTTAGTTGTATGTATTCACACAAGAAATAAAGTTCAATGCATGGAGATCAGTACTGTAATAAGATAATTACAACTAGTCAAGTAAAGGAAGAAAACATAGCGGCTGAACCAATCAAATTTCCTCAAGCTTGTATTTACTTTCCATCTAACATATTTACAGTATTTCTTTAATTTTAAAAAACAAAATAACAAGGAAATCAATCAAATAAAATGCTAAGGAATCCACCAGATCTTCCTACAGTATGAATGACTAGTTTCAATTTTAATTTATGAATATCCCATGATTACTATGTCCATAAAAGGGCGGCTCAAAACTCAAAAGTTTCTGGGATTTGTTTGCTGACTAGGACCTTTGCTGGACCCATGATCCAAAGCCAAGACAAAAATAGTGTAACAACACATGAATACAAATTTTATTTTCAAGCAATCATTTAATTAATTTTGTGCCTAGTAATATATAGGGAACTTTAGCTACAACAACAATAATGTCAGAGCCTTAATCCCAAAATTCCAAGATGTTAATATTACACCGTCACCTACATAAACCAATAATTTATATCCTACGATCAGACCCTATAGACATATACTCCATGGAAACACTATAAGGTACTTGAGCGGATGCCTATAATTGAATAATTCTATAATAATATTCCACATTGCATAACTTAGGATACCCAAAATACTTTTTTCCTGTCTATGGGATCATGATATGAAACCATGTTTTTTCATCTCCGTAAGAGAGATAACAAAGTCTTATTATACTATTTACGATTGTAGAATCACATGATTCATATTTCAAACTCGTACTTCCAAAATTGTCAACTTCAGCAAAATGTTTAGACACAAAAAGTCTACCCAACAAGAAACAAGTCTAATTAATATACTAAAACTCCTTAAACAAAGACTTGTACCTTGAAATGATGTTTGATGCAATGCTTCCAAGTCCCAAGCCCTTCCAAGCTGTCAAAATTTCCATATGACTGTCCAATTTCTACCACCTACAACATTTATATAAGAGCCCACCACCATTAGAAGAATATAATTTGAACGGACCAGATTAATTGAACCTATTTCTGTTAGAAAATTTTGGCCTTGTTACAAGAAATGCATGTACACTACTATCCCTCAGTGCAATAAAAGAGAAACAGAACAAAACTCAAGTTGATATATAGAGACAAAGTTGTAATTGAAATAGAAGAGAATGGGAATTTCTCCTCTAGGATTTGACACTTGAAAGAGCACCTTAGAATACTTGCATACCGTACATCAATATAGCTATAACATATAGGCTAAGATGAAGCGATGATGTACATTCACCAAATGCAGTTTAACTTCTAATCATGCCTTGCTTGATACTTCCAACAGTTAAAGTAGTCACAAAGTCTGATTATTAGAAAGAACAGAACTTGCAGATATCTTCGTTAGTGCGACTCTTACAAAGCCGAATTTTTATTTTACTACCATCTTCTGTCAAGAACTTGCATCACATGTAATATGCAGCCTTTAATTTCAGTTTTAAGCAGTCTCAGCAGGACTGCCCTGTTTAGTGTTTATTTAAGTTTGTGAACTCAGATAAAGGAGTTCTAGTGTGCATCTTATATATAATTTAAGAGTCGTTTTAACGAGAAGCCTCCAAAACCCCAATGCTAAACTCTCATTCACTCCTGCCTAATAACTCTAATCCCTCCAAAAATAACTACTACTTTCTAATTTTAAATTTCAAACAAAAAAAGAAAAAAAACACACAAATGCTTGGATAAAAACTAATTAATATATATAATAAAATAAAATAAAAAACAAAATAACAAAGGCCTTATACTTCGTGTTTGGGTCCAATTTAGTCCAATTGGGCCTAGATATTAAATGATCCAATTAAAAGCCCAAGGTCAAGGTTCAACTCTCCAATTGTGCTAAAGTCAAAGGTCAGCCCACAAAGCAAGCCAATTGGGCTAAGGCCCAACCTCTCCATGTATGATGAGGTATAAAAGCCATCAATATTGATACATTCATATGTTCATTCATATGTTCATTCATATATCTGATATATTCCATAAAAGCCTCAAGCAACAAACTCTCTTGCATAGTGTCCTCTTCTTACACATTGTACTGACTTTAGCATCGGAGGGGCCTTCCTCGGCAACACCCCCGAGGCTAGTTTACGTGTGTTTACTGTGCAGGAAACCTTCGGCCCAACATAACTTGGACCGAATCCAGCCTTCTCCGTTTCAGCGGACCTTCGGCAAGGTCCCATTGTTTTCACCCGAAACAATTTGGCGGCGTCTGTGGGGAAGACTTTCAAAAATCTTTAAGCCAAATTCCTAACCAAGATCATCTTGCAATTATCTTAGCAGCAATGGCTAAGAACCGCAAGAGCAAAAGCCTCCGTCAAGGAGCGGGCGAAAAGCCTAAAACCCCTACACCATCACCCTCGCCGGACCGGAACTCTCCCAAGGGTGCCGGCTCGGGGGGAGGATCATACAAGGAGGATTCCCTATCTCCCGTAATTCATGACTCTCATTATAGGCCGAGTCACTCTCGGTCTAGCAGGGGTGAGTCCGATCATAGGACACATTCAGTGTCCCAAAGCCAACCATCGGCTGCGCGCCCTCATTCCCACACTCGGCCGAGGACCCCTTTGACGGGGCCCAGCTCGGAAGAGGTGGCAAGAGCGCTGGCAGTACTCATGGAGGCGATGAGGGCACAAAATATGCCACCACCTCGTGATCGAACTCCTCCGCATACCCGGCATCAGCGGAGGAAGTTAGACCATGATGGTGGGAAGCTTCCTTCCTTCCGGGAACTGGAAGAGTGGGAGGAGGATTCCTGGAAAAATGAAAAACAGAGGAAAAAGAACCCTCAATTTTTAAAAGGATCCTCATCCTCAAGACCAGAAGCGCATAAGAGCAGCAGCTCAACTTCTCGGCCAGAATCTACTCACCGAGAACCTGAGACTGTTCGCAGAAGTATCCTTGACCGACTCGGCGGCAAGGAACCGAGCGTGCACAGTCGCCTCTCGTTCCCTGCAGCCGAGGCCCAGACTTCCCAGCCAGGGACGAAAACCACTCCTACCTCTCTAAGAGGGCGGAGCGCGGTCCCTTCGGCCAGGAACAAGGGCAAGGCCGTTATGCTACCCGCCAGTTCACCATTCGAGCAATGGATACTGGAAGAGCGCGTACCCACGGTTAAAATACCGTCGCACATCACATATGACGGGACCACGGATCCGAAGGATCACGTGGCCTCGTATGAGACTCATATGCATCTTTGCCCCAGATCCGAGGCAACTTGGTGCAAATATTTCCCAACCACTCTCAAGGGGGTCGCGCAAGCGTGGATCTCCAAGGGAGTAAGGCAAGGCTCCATAACAGGGTGGGATGATCTGTCCTCCAAGTTCAGGAGCAAGTTTTCCACGGCAAACCGCCGAGAAAAGACTACCGCAGAGCTCATGAGTCTGCAACAGGGGGAAACCGAAAGCCTCCGAGACTACCTGACCCGTTTCAGTAACGAGTCATCAAGCGTCTCCCAGCTGGACCAGGGGCTAGCCGTTTTCGCAATGCAGAATGGCCTTCAGCCCGGAAAGTTCCTAGACTTCATGGTCATGCATACCCCGCAGACCTTGGAGGAAGCTCTTAATGCTTCGGATAAGTTCATCCGAGCCGAAGAATGGAACAAAGCGAAAACCCAACCTCAATTCGGGGGAGGGAAACAGAGACAAATACCCTTGTCTGAAGGCCAAGGCCATAAGGCAAAGGGAAAGTCAAAGGCCACGGAGCAATCTTTGGTCATCGACCCAAAGAAGGAAAGATCTGCCTCATACACAGGCAGATACGAGTCCTACACTCCGCTCTCTCTTCCACGCGCCAAAATTTACAGCGTGACGAAGGAGGAGCAGAGTTACCGAAAGCCGAGACCACTCCCAGAGTGGTATCAGCGAAAAAATAAAAATCAGTGGTGCGAGTTCCACGAGTCTTCGGGACACAACACTGAGGAGTGTATCCAACTGAAGGACCAGATAGAGGACATGGTCCGGAAGGGATACTTGAAAAAATACATCGCGGATCACCGCGAGAAAAAAGAATCCGAGAGGTCAGCAAAGGACCCTCGGCAGGACCTCGACTTCCCCCGGAAAAACAGTAAAAAATCGGAGGGGAAATTCCCTCCGATCAATGTTATCTCGGGAGGAATATACTCTCGGAGGGAGCACAAGCGCCACCTTAGAGCTTTGACTCACCAGGTGAACAACGCTGACATTCAATCTCCCTAGTCGCCGGTGCCGAACATGACGTTCACAGCCGCCGACTGCCGGGGGATTACGTTCC